CTGTGGGTCAGTACCCCAAAGTGGGTCGCAACCCACTTTAAATGGGGTCACCAGGGCTGGCTTAGACTTGCTGGGGCCCAGGGCTGAAGCCTGAGCCCCACTGCCCAGGGATGAAGCCAAAGCCCGAGGGCTTCAGCTCTGTGTGGCAGGGCTAAGGTGGCAAGTTCCCTGCCCAGGGCTGAAGCCCTTGGAGTTCAGCTTTGCCCCCCCCCCACACACACACACACACCCAGAGTGGTGGGGTTCAGGCTTTGCCCCCACCCCCACCTGGGGCAGTGGGGCTTGGGCAGACTCAGACTTCGATCCCTCGTCCTGGGATCGTGAAGTAATTTTTGTTGTCAAAAGGGGGTTGCGGTGCAGTGAAGTTTGAGAACTCCGATCTCCATGATCCCTACCTCTAGCTTTCTTCTTCTTTCATTTTTACACCACCTTAGGTATTCAGCCACAGCAAGTACTGGTTAGTGAAACAAATTGTCTATATTTGTTCTACCTTTTATTACACTGCTTGATTTTGACACTGCTTTGGTTTTCACAAGGATAACACTTGTGCAGGTCAATGACCCTTAGTCTAAAAACAGTAGGGCCAGACTGTGATACTTTTATTCGTGCTCAATAGTAGTACCTTACTCACTCAACATTCCCATTGAAACCAGTTGGTCCATTGCAGGCATAAAGTATTATTCAAAGTGTAAGGACAAAATAGTGTGAATTACCTTTCTGTAAAGCTGCGATCCCTCTTTGATTACTTTTTATCAAAATGCAGTGAGAAAGAGCGGCTAGAGTATTTCCAAAGTAACCTCTACGCTTGAAATTAACATATCACTCTGTAGTCCTAACCATGGTGCGTTATTATTTCGAGCCAAAAAATCAATTGGTTTGCATTTCTCATTATATTTTTGAGTTAAATGTACACCAATTTATTTGCAAAGAACAAGTCAAGAAACGTTCCTATTTCGCCTCTAAGCAGATCTCTCCTAACTGATTTTACACCATTATTCAACTGTATCTTGTGTGCGGTATGTCTCTGCCAAGAACTGCATCTGTACAAGTGATTTTCCATATATCAAATGCTATATAACAAAAGCATGAAAAGAACCTACACCAAACACACATAGCTCACAGCTGTTCTTGGTTTAGTGGAATAATCCAGTGTCATCCTTAAGGAAATTTAGTAGCTACAGAATTTATATTAGAATAAATAATATGAAAAAATCCATACTTTGAGAGCAACGGAAGAACCTTTATTCTGATTTCCTGAAAACAAGATCTATAATATGGATCAGATCCAAAGTCCATTGAAGTCAATAGAAGTCTGGTTCTCTTTCCCCCTCTATTTTCAGTCCTGTGTTCCACATTAGAGTGATAAAACCCTGACAGGCAGGAGTAACTATGAATAGCTAATAGAGACAATTAACTGAACGCTACATAAGGTGAGTTCAGCAAACCCCCCTGACTCTTCTAAATGTGAACTTTCTTCTACAATAGCTTTCATCCACTTCTGTCTGATAGTCACAGTGTTATCTACTGTTTCTGAGGCTGGCTGTATCTCATTTCTAAAAAGCCACCCACTTATCTACCTGCAAAGTACTATGAAACAGAATATTGTCTGTTCTTATCACTTAGCTTCCAAACTGCTGGCTATCAGTAGACTAAAAAGGGCAATAAACGATGCGCGTGTCTTGGGAATCTGTTGTGGTTATTATTATTGTGGTAACTTTACTGCAGAAAAATATTACATGATTTCTTGTTCGACAGAGCACTAATGAAGAGGTGGTCAGACTTGACTGAAACTCGGGGACCTAGACATACCAAAACAAGGTTTTAATGTAGTCATAGTATCTTTGCATTGTGAATTTCAGCCTTCTACAGCACATGGCAGTTGTAGTAGCCAGTAACAGACATCACAGCATTTACCATCTGCCTTTGACATAAGCTGGTTTTTCTTTCTATTTCTGCACTTGAGACAATTAATTAAAGAGCAGGGGGAGAGTCTTAAATAGCTCGATACATCGTAAAGTTGTTACATAATCCATTGTTTTAGGGGAAACATCTGAGGGATTTTTAATAAATAATTTTCCAATAAATGGCAGCCTGGCTAAAAACGTATCAAAATAGAAATGTACTTAAAATATATATTGTATATTGAGTGAAAAGGAAGACACCGCCTCATAAAAAATACCGAAACATTAATTGAAGCTAAAGAAATGGTATCGCTATTTTCATAACACACACACCCCGTACTCAGGGGGCCCGATCTATTTCTACTGAAGACAACTGAAGTTTTTCCATTGAGTTCAAAAGGAGCAAGATCGGCCCCCTAGTGTTCTCCAACAGTCTGACAGTTTGGGAATATTTTAAGCCTCTGCTTCGAGGTCTGCTTAAACCACGGTTGGGTGTTCTCCCTTTGTGCCGCTGTATTTAAAGGTGTGTATTTGAACAGAACTCACTTATCACTCTATCACCTTAGAAAGAAGGGGCATACAGAATACATCTATGCTCAGATTCGCTGCTACCATGAAGAATCAATACAAATCTACTTAATTAGCTAAAGCAATGTAAATCAGCTCTTTGCAACCAGATGTAGGATGTCCACAGCAAACAAACTGCAACCTTTGACTGTGAAAAACAGAGCCTGAACTACTCTATGGTATATTACCCACCGCCTTAGGCACATTGTTAGTGATCGAAGTATTTGTATACGGCTAAAGATACTGGAATTGCATATGGATTTAACAGTAGGTCCAATCTTGCTGTTCTTACGCAGCAGGCAATTATGCCCATTAAATCACTGGGAATTTTGCCTGAGAAAGGACGGCAAGATCGGTCCCAATGTGATTTACACCATTTTTGAAGCCTCTTTTTTCCTCTCTTCCCCGGTAAAGCAAGTAACTATTCTGGTGATTAAATGCTTTCCTTCACAATCGCTGTCCTGTTTACCCTGCACACTGGAATAGTTGTTAGGCAGAGCGAACAAGTGACAATCAATAGGAAAAGGCTATCCAGCTATTCCCAAGCAAACAAAACAGCCTTTTCAAAATGACCAAAAGCAGAAATTAATTACCCAGTGGGAGGTTTCATTTCCATGCAGGTCATTTAAGGTAGGGCGGGGCTCTGGTTTTGGATAAAATATGACTGCCAACCACTGGCCCCCCACAGGAAAACAAGCCTAGCACTTGTGAAGCCTCTGACATACAAAGCACCTTAGTATGTTATTTTCTTTTTCTTTGAAAAATGGTTACAATGCGCAGACACATTTCTTCGCTGCTCAACCTTCAGGTTTTACGAGTGTTTTAATCTGCGACATACATTTGGGCCTCTCACCTTGTGTTTAGCTGAAAAGTCTAACATTTGCGAAATACAGGCATTGATGGGACTTCGGCTTTGGGAGTGTAGAGATGGAAATGTATGGAAAGGCTGTAATGCGTGTGCTGGGTCAATCTCCTCCTTCTCCAGTCTTGCCACTGCTGGGTAAGAGTGTTTACCCCTACTTTGCTTTGTTGTTGTTTTTAAGGCGAATCAAGAGGATTTTCCTAACTACCAGCTGTGAGTGTAGGAGTCCATCTACGAAGGAAAACAAGGGTTTTCCCAATACACAGGAAAGCTCACCTAAACCGAATTCGTAATTATTCCTCCATGAACACGGAACTCTCCAAACCGAATCAAGCACAGAATACATACTTTTATTGTCGAGTACAATTGCTAATGACCAGAGATTTAACTCTGCAATATTGGCACTCTTATTTATAAAGGAGCCTCCCCCATCCAGTTAAGTGCACGCTCCTTAGAAAAGTACCATTTGCAAGACCATAGTCACTGTTTCCAAATAAACAACTTCCTTTTTATGTTTGCCTTAAAACACTAACTGCCAAAACGATACAGTTACTGTGTGTACATTAAGCCCCCCTAAAAGTAAGATAATTCTGTTTTAAGGCTGAAAATCTCGGCAGAATGTTCATCCATTGGGGGGGGGGGAAGATTTAGCATATCCATTTTCAATAGTTACATTTGATAGAAGAATGAAAAAATCCGCGTTGGACTACAGGTATGTACACGTGCAGGTACACTGCACTTTCAGTAACCACGACCGTTTTCTTCACTACCAAAACAAACACAACAGGCCACGGATTCGAATGACATATCACTTCTGCCAGCAGCAATCACTATTTCAATGAAAATAGTATTAATATCATCATAATAAATAAGTCCAGCCAACCTGCCGGAGGGAATTAGAACTCATTCATTGGACCTAGGTATTGCAGTTTATGCAGCAGGTACCATACAAGTCTGATACTCCTGCAATACCCAAGTACGATGGGATGAATTAAGAAGTACAGCCAAGATTTTCAGCATTAACTCTGAACCTTTTTGCCTTGGGGGAGGGGTAATGGGGGTAGGTTAAACTGAGAACCTTCTGGTCACTTTGTGGTTCAATATAAGGCTCACTCTCTCAGAACAAAAACGAAATCTCTGAGCTTTGATAGAGACTCTGGATGATATTAAGAACTTCAAACCCCAGATTTTTGAAAAGAAAAACAGATGTCCTGTTTGTTAAGTATAAATAACTCCGTACATTCAACCTCCCCCCCCCTTCTTTTTTTTTCTGATGCTGCGTTAAATTTTATTTAAAGCTGGGTACATTTAAACTGTAAAAAGAGAGAGAGAGGGAGCCGAATATGTGGGTGACAAACCACTAAATCTTTTCCCTAGCGAAAGAGGGGGGGGGGGAAGAAAAATCAGACAGGAACCTTTCATCGAGATGAAAGTGCTCCCTGGGTTTCCTCGCCAGCCCGGTGTGCGCGCCCTGGTCAGTTGCAGCACTGAGCGGATTTAGCAGACCTAGACCAAGAGGCAGGGAGAGACTATGGAGCTAGGTCTGTTCCAAGCAACGAGCTTCCCTGTGGTGGGGCAGGGCCCCTTTTTATCCATGCGTTTCCACAAGGCCTTTCCCCTCCGTCGCGCCTAGCTCTGCACAGTTTAGAGCAGCCCCTGGGCTCACTTACGTGAGGACGTAGTTGACGCTGACTATGCAGTGCGGCCGCGAGGACCTGCTGTTGTGCACGATGGTGGCGTAGCTCTGCACCCACACCCAGCCGCCGTGCTTGGCCAGGAAGCGGTAGTATTTGGTGGTCACCTGCCCTTTCACCAGCACTGCGGAAGATACAAAAGAAGGGAAGGGAGGGAAAGGACCTCAGTGGAGTACTGCTGCCCCTTGCAATCCCCCCCCCCCCGAGAAGGGTTACCCACTCACTGAAAAAGCCCCCGTTGCTTTTGTTAGCCAGAGCTCAGATAAAGGGCTACAGCTCCTTCTCAAGGAGGCTGGCTCAGGGCAAACGGGTGCTTTAGTAAAGGCAAAAATACAGATCCGAAGAGAGAGAGATCCTGCGCCCACTGAAACTAATGAGGCAGCTCCCACTGACATCAAAGGTGCAGGCTTAGTGCAGATCAATTCACATCCGGAAATTTCCGGATAACGGATCCCATCACTTATGTGTCTCCGGCCTAATCAATTCATGTCAGCACAGTTACAAAAACACAACGTTCACGGAGTCTAAAGGAAGCTACATGCCACTAACTGTTTCACAATAATGAATAATAATGCACGGTCCACTACGGGGGGGGGGCAGGGGGGAGGAATATTTTTTCTGATCTCTCTGTCATCAAGATTCTTAAAAGATTATTTAAAATGGGTTTTGCCTCTACCTGTGCCCGTTACATTTTCTGTAAATTGGAAGAAATCTTACAGGAAACTAATATCTTTTTCGTTCATTTCCCCCTGGGTATTCATGTCAGCGTGATATTGAAATAAAAGTCGGATCTACGAATCGGAATACCACAGTTCCAAAGAAATGTGTACATAGGAGTCGTGTGACAGTGTGGGGCCGGAGAAAGGGAGTCTGGCTTTTACTGGCACGCCGGTTTGGAGCTGAAAAAAGATTCCCGACTGAAATATCTGAGATTTGATCGGTTTCAGAGTAGCAGCCGTGTTAGTCTGTATCCGCCAAAAGAAAAGATTTGATCGTTTTAGTTCTTTCCTCATAACGGCTTGCTGGGGGAAAGCAGCGGTGAGTTAGAGACCCGCTGCAAGGACTCCTTGTGTATTACACTCCCGGCCCCCTCCCAGCCCTCAGTCAGCCCCGATTTCGTCCTAGGTGTAAATCTAGTAAGTCCCGGTCTGGAGGGAGGAGGCGAACATCGGGCCTCAGAGGGGCTGCCGGGGCGGGGGGAGGAGGGTTACTCCCTGGTGCTTTAGGGAGCGGGACTCCTTACGCAAATGGTGAGCGCAGCGCAAGTGGAAGGTGTCACAGCCATGGACGTGGTGGTAAAGGGTCTTCTCTATCAGGTCCTGCGGCTCGTAACCCGTCAGCTCGGCCACCCTGTGGGAGAGAGAGCCAGAGGCAGGCGCCAGTAAGTGCCCGGGCGGAGGGCGAAGCCTGACAGGAAAGCGCGGGGCTGGAGGCGGAGTTTCAAAAGCAGACCGGCTACCTGGAGTCTAAGAAGATGAGCTTCATGTCCAGGCTGGCCCGGAACATGAACATATTGCTGTGCAGCTTGATTTCCGTCACCGCGCTGGGCGGCAGCGAGTGGCCAACAGCGACCAAGCCGACGTTCTGGTAGCAGCCATCGAAGGGGGACATGTCCAGGCTGTACTGGCGGATCTTCAGGTAGCCGCTGCAATGAATGACCTGCCAGGCACAAGACAGGGACACGTCACGCCCTGCGTGCACCAGGGCAATAGCTCGCCTTTGAAAACACACCTAGGACACACGGGAGCGGGTGGGCACCTTAAAGGCAGCCGGAATATCTACCGCCTGCTGGAGAGTAGCGCTGGGTCACGGGAATTTGCCTGTTACCCTGGCCCTGGTGGAGGAACTGGACAGAGAGACGTTCTTTTCTCTACAGAACAATTCAGCGTTCAGCACCTGGTTCAAAGCCCATCCACGTCGGGGGGACGAGGGGGGTGTTCCAGGGATTTAAATGGGGATTGGGATCAAGGCCTAGCTATGCTTTTATCATCCCTTTAAACATTGCAACAGTCAGAAGGACGGAGAAGTGTCAGGTTGTTCACAACTGATATTGGTAATTTTATACACACAAGATGTATGTGAGTGCAGATTAGGGGCGTGTATATAGGTATATAAATATGTGTACGGCGTTCATTACATAGATGTGTATTAGACAGCATATGTGTTATGGATATGTATGTACTGTTACCTATATTTTGATGTTATAATCATGCTTTATTATAACGCCTTTTTTCTGCAGGAACTCAAAGCGGTGTATGTGCATTAATGAATTTAGTCTCACAATCATTATTCTTCCCCATTTTGCGGACAAGAAGGCTGACGCAAAGAGAGATGCTGGGAGGCAAACGTCACGTAAGATGTCTGTGAGACACAGAACCCAGGAGTCCTGAGCAGAGTATATAAAACTAAGACTAGGAGGAGCTATGTAACAGGGCCTTAGTCTAGGAGAACTTCACCGAATTTGAAGAGTCTTTACAAACTTTTCTAAAAGTCCAGTCAAGTTCGCCCCAAGGTTTGCAATGGGTCAGCTTACCGTTTCCACAGCAACACGGGAACTTCCGTGGTTTTTGCTTGGTTTCTACTACAAACTCTGGCAAAACTTGGGGGGGATTGGGCTGAGTTTGGCTTTGTGGCCTGTGTTCATTTATTTGCAACCCGAAGAGAAACTTCTGGGCCTGAACAGGAAACCCACACTTCAAAAAACGTCCTGCCAGCTGAAACCGCTCAAATGGGCTGAGGTCTCATTCTGACTGCTGGTCCCCTGCTTTCACACCGCAAAGACCCAGCAGCCTAGCCAAGCACAGACACATCCACATAGTCAGGGATTCTCTAGCATGCACTTCCCATCCTTCTGAGCAGGAGCCGCTGGTGACTCCTGTCCATGTCCACGCACCTTGTAGCCCCCGCAGGTCAGCCCCGCGTTCCTTTTAGCCAAGACGCACTTCATCCTTAGGAAAAAGGAGCGCTCGATCTCGTATTCTAAGGGAAAAGGCAGAGGCACCGGTGAGAAAAGGGCAGGGGGGCCTGGTGGCACCTGATGGCTTCGCTTCCCCTGCAGAGCCCACACCCGCACAAGCGCGGAGGCCAAGCCGAGAGGGGGAATGTACTTTACCCTGCACGAAGTGAGAGTGGTAGGGCTGGTGAGCTGTGAGCACCGCGGTCATCTCATCGTGATCAGCAGGGTGGATGTATTCGTAAATGCTATTTCCAGTCAGCTCTACCTGTGAGGGAAGAGGAGGGTTTCAACTTTCTCGCCATCGACATAGCGTGCGTGTGTAGCCGGCGCTGGATGTGGGGCCATCTGCTGCCGTGGTACAGCTCTATAAACACACAGACAATTACAGTGTCCTGGCTTTGTCTGGGTTCACACCACCTCCGGTTGAGGCAAATAGCTTAGAGGCAGCTGTACATCTCCTATGGAAAATACAGGGATATAGACAGGGGCATTATGCCCTATCACACGCACGCATAAGCCGCTAGTGGGTAACCTGTCCACTTACCTGTGATAAACCCAGATGAACGGAGGCCGTCTCTGAAATGTACATGATCTTGCCGTCTGGAGCCACAACAAATATGAAACCATCCAAGGTCTACAAGGGAAAGAAGACACCAGATATCTATGAACTACGTGTACCTGGGACTGATTTAGCAGATCGGGGATTCCAGCCTGGCTTTCATTGCTAAAAGAGTTGGAGGATGGGAGGAAGCTGGAACATCCTTTCAGTAGATCCGCTTAAAAGGGGCAGGATATGAACATAACGCACCTCAAAACAGGGGACCTGTTTGAAATGGCTTTGTAACGAAATGTGACAATGAATCAACCTAAGACTCCAAAGCAGCAAGAATAGAAGCTCCCAGCCTCTAGGGCTCCCAGCCTCGGCTTTGCTGACCGTTCCCCCTGGAGAAATACTGAACACTTGCACCCCCCACCTACGATTTCAGTAGAGATTTTAACTCTCATATATTTGATTAAGAGACTTCAGCGAGCAAGGGGCGATCTAAAACTCTCCACAATGTAAATAAAGTTTGAAACGGACAGAACTATTTAAAAGGTCTGTTAAGATTAGATAGATAGATGTTAATAAGTGTTATTTGTATGCACTGTGAGAAGAACAGGCCTCTGTTCATTAGAGGCGGGTATAAAATGCTACAAGACCCCACAGTACCACATGCCTGAATAGCTAAGATTATAAACACTAATATTCCTTTGTTAATCCTTTAGGCCACAGCGAGTTTTCAATTGTGTCCTAGCTGAATTAAGGTTTTCTGTGTCTTCAATTAATCAATGTTTATTCTAACTACCATGGGATCAAGGCTTTCTAAACTTTTATATGTGCTCCTCAAAATAGCCCCCTGGATCCCCTCTACGGTTTCTCCCACTTTTCTTTTCACCTTGCACCACTTTAAAGACGCGTCTTTGCGCTCACCAGATTGCTCAGAACAAGAAAACTACATTCACAAATCTTGTCAACCTGCTGACTGACAAGGCTGTTGAGATTAGGGACCAAATCAACCTACCACTTTCTACTTCGGACACGTAGAATGGCCACCAGCAAGTTGAGCCGCGCTGCGTAACCTACTGTACCGTGTGAGAAGCTAAGGATCGTGACAGATAAATTCCGCCACAGTTCTGGACTCTCCTTTTGTGAAGCACGTGAACAGTTAAAGATTAGACAAGGGAATAATTAAAAGCTCAGAATATGGTACGATCTCTTTAATCATTAATACCAAATGGCTCGCGTTTCCAGGCCAGTACCTGCAAAAGATGGGATCCCAGTTCCCGTCCAACATTATCCAAAGGGCTGGTTCGACTAGTGTGGCCCCAGGCTTCGCCAAGTCCTGTTTATTTAAGACACACAAAAATTAAGGTGAGACGACAAGATACAAATTCTCATTGGCCTGTCAGGGCTGGTTGATTTGGTTTTCTTTGTTTTAGTTTCAAACACTTTAAAGCGTTTTCTAATAGCTGAATAAGCTAATTCCCTTGTTGATTGTTTTAAAATGTTATTTCCTGTTTGGGGGGATATCTATGCTGGAATTACCAGTAAAGTTCATTAATAAGAACTGAGTGAATTCAACTAAGCCAGGAACCGCTCCAGATAAAACGTTATTCGACCTGGACAATGGCTTCTAGAAAGTTGCTTCCTGGAAGAAAAGGTAGTGCAATATCTTTGCTTCTGACCTCACTGAAAAATGACAGAACAACACTGCGAGGTATCAAAATGAGACCAAAACAGAAATATTTAATTTCAACAGAATGATGCTATTAACCGAACGTGAATACACTTCAGAATGATTTAAATGTTATAAAGCCAATGAAATACAACATTGATGTTATTCAGTATTATTCGATTAGACAAAAGGATAACTCAGGTCTGTGAGTATTTTATTTAGTGTGTTTGCCGACTCTCCCAGAAACGAATGCTTTGTATTGTTTGCGCACAACCTCCCAAGAAATTAACAAACTGAATATGTAAACCAGGCTATATATTGAGAGGGCTTTAAAATGTAACCCTGGCCATCAAGATCACTTTCTGATTTGATCAGCGATCCGGTGTAAATCCCGAAGAAGGCCCCGATCCTTCATTCCTCACCTATCTATCGACTTCAATAGGAGCTTTTGGGTGCGCCGAGAATGCAAGATCGGACCCCTGCAGTGCATTTTATTAAAAAGTATTTCCACCTTAGCATATGCCAAGCCCACGAAAAGTAATCTACCTTTCCCGACGTCTTTCCGCAGCTGCAGTGTCACGACAGCACTAAGACACGCCAGGCAGTGCATAAATGTACTTCCGAAGCGGTCGGAGTTACTCACTAACCAAGGTACCAGCTCTCTCTTCCCAATCAAACCCTCTTCCCCACAACATACAAGGCCCTCTCTCTCCCACTGAAGGAATGACCTCTCTTTACCGTGAATGATCTGCTTCCAAATACTCTAGCTGGATTCGACAAGGAATCTCCCCGGACGTGGCTAATGTTTCAATTTGTGCTGGTTTTCCTATATGCAAAGGGCCGGATGGAACGGACTGTGCCGGAGTTAAAAGGCATTACCCATAAACAGTTTAACAATGCTGTTGCTGAAATAATTTCAACTTGGTGATTAAAGCCTTTTATGCTTACACCATTAAACAAGGCTTAGCGTGACCCCCCCAAAAAAGTGATTGATGGCAACGCAGAGCAAATCGCCACGAGGCGAACACGGGGTCCAAGCAGGGACAGCCTCCCGCAAAATTAGCCCTTCACAAACTCCTCGTGGCTTGTTTTTCGTTTATTCAGATGCAAACAAACAAGGGATGGGAACAGAGGCGATGTGGAGCAGATAACTCCCCCTCAGTATTGACCGGGCTCACTTGGGTGTTTACACGTCTAAATAAAGCTAACGATTTCACCGCCGCTATTCAAACACTGAAGCGCCCACTCTAAGGCCGTGCATTCTCGGTCTCTCTCTCTCTCTCTCTCCAGCCATCCCTTCCTCCATTTCTCCTCTCCATCCCTGCTTCAACGGGCCAGAGCTATTAGCAGCCCCAGCCCCTCCTCGCTCACCATCTCTCTCCTACCCCCTTCTCAGTTCTCCACAAGGGTCTCTCTCCTTAAATTCCTGCTTCTTCCTCTTCTGTTTACATCCCTCCCCTCTTCAGCATGCCAGCATCTCTCTTCTCCTTTCTGCCTCTACGCTATTCTCTCCTCCTCTGCAAACGGCGTACTACCTCTCCTCTCCTCTCCTCAATTCTCCCTAGGCCAGGGGCCTCAATAGACTGCCTTCCCCCCGCCCCCCAATACGTACATCTCTGTCTCTATCCCTTGATCCTTCATCTCGCCAAATGCCGGCCGGCAGCAGAGTCCCTGGGATTAGTTCCTCCTGCTCAACAGCAGGTACCCAGTGACTTTCCACAGCCCCGGGGTAAAGGGCTATGGGAGAAGCCTTGAGCGCTTCTGTAATAACTGACAATTGTGCTGCCCCCGAATGCAATCATCCCCTCTCCCCGTTAGACAGCAAGCGAGCCACAGACACAACTTAACTTCTAACCCTTGTGACTCCCCAAATGCCGTAGTACACGATTTCATTCATGAGACGGTGGCGGGGAACATACTGTTTGAGAGCATACAAACTGCGGAAAGCGTGTGATCAAATTAACAGGCACCACATTCCCTCTTGAAATTAGCAAGCACTAACATCAACCCCTGCAAAGGCTGCATCGTTTCCAGAGAAAGACCGAAAATTCCTCTATGAAATTCTGATTCAGTACATGTTCAGGAGGTTTGGTGTGGTTGTGCTTAACAATAAAGCCCATTAAAGTGAGACAAAAAGCACCACTCCGCATAAAATGTCCTACCCGGAGAACCAGGAAGACGAATTTCTGTATTTAATACAGCGGCTGAACTCCTTGCCTAAAGTTCTAAGTTGTTTATTAAGCCGAGTTAACGGATCTAATTATTCTGGTCCTAAAAGGGAAAATATCCCTATCCTTGCGGGTTAATGAATAGCCCATCTACATTACAGGTTAACTTTTTTTCAGGACACTTTTTTTTTTTTCCACGGAGCATTGCACTCCTTTTTTTATGTGTCAGGTGGAAACCTTTCGCTGTTCAGCTGTGTCTAAGTTAATGTTTTATAATTAAATGTTTTCACTCGTCTACCTGAATCGGCTTTTCGAAACCCTACCACATGAGACAGCTCTTTGTATTTTCCAGATGTTTCAGTGCTTTCAAGTTAGAGACTTTTTTTATTCACTGACAAATCCTTCCCGTCAGCCTCCCCCCCCCCCCCATCGCTATCCTGATGCCCTTTAAAATTCTGTTTCTAAAAGGGTTGCGCAGAAAAAAATCTTCATTGATGTAACTTTTTTTTAAAAAAATAATCTGACTCTCTATTCGTTTTAACACCCAATTTCCTTTTAGCGAGGGGGGTAAACTGTGATTTCTTGCACTTGACCTACCGCAGAAAATTCTACAAATCCTTTGATTGTCTATTTAAAACAAAACAAGGAAATCAGTTTCCCTTTTGCTTCAGGATTACACTGGAAACAAGATCTAAAGATTCTCTTGTAATCTGGAGAGGCGAACAGAATAATAGGTTTGGAATAGAAACAAGCAGCTTTGTGAGGGGAGGGATAACTAAAGCGTTTTTAGGCAAAGGATTTTCCCAGCTAAAGTGGCCGAAAACAAAGCAAAACATAATCTATTTTGGACGATTTCCAAGATATGCCACATTAACCTTAGTAGATAAAATTTGCTTTCCTCCCCGAGCCCCCCACCTTTGTCAAAGTCTGGTTTATCATATTTGCATAAGTAGCCTTAGAAGGGATGTATCTATTATGGATCTAAGGCGCTAGCTGGCTCACATTTCATTTGAAAAATCTAGGCGAAGTTTTACTGTTGCTTTATACCTGATGCATTGTATTAAAATACCCCCTGACCCGTGGATTACCTCAATGGACTGGCTGCATGGGCTTTGTAATTTCCTGAAAATGAGATTTCGATTTATAAAACAAGAAACCAATTAGTAACCAAATGAGGCGAAGTAGATCCACTAAAATTGACCTAATCCCACAGGCACCATTTAAGCCAGTTCTTGGCGAATGAATGATGAGCCACAGTCTAGCGTGGGCTCAAGGCATCATCCAGCTGTGTTATTGCAAGCAGCAAAAATAAATTGATCGAGCTTTTCCTTCGGAATGAATTTTCTACTCTTGACAAAATATAGATGATAGCCCCTACATAACAGCCTCCTCCACTCGAGGTTATTTCTTATAAGAATATAAACAATTTAGGCTACAAGGAAGTGTCCATCTTTAGGAGAGAGCAGAAGGCATTCTAGCCAGCCGGGAATGTTGCTTCGGCTATTAAACCAGTTTCAGCTCTTTGCAGGCATATATCATAGGACGCTACCATATTTGGGACTGAGGACGCTGATTCATTCTTTATTTTAATAACTTCTCTGTGGAAATGCATTTAACTTTCACACATTAAAGGCCACAGAAAACGTTTCTCTGCCTTTCCTGGTGTCAGTGTATTAGCCACATCAGATGAATCATAAGGGACCTTTCTGGGCTTTAAGAGGTTTCATTCCCATCCCCCAGACCTCTGGAGTTCACACGGACACCACCTCCTTCCTCAACGCTTTAAGAAACAACAGCTTTGATCTAACTATATTCACGCCCGCCATTCGATTGATTCAGTCCTTACTGCTAGCAACCAGGGGCAAAACTGGGCTGATAGATAGTTTCTGCCCAATGGCATTTTGGCTGCCATACCCGAGCGCTTATTTGCCATCCAAGGGCGAAGCCCCCAGGCAACGGTGGCAAAGGAATGGAAGAAGATATCCCTTCCAATTGTTTCTAATTTGATCTAGGAAAAAATAAAATCAACTAATTAAACCGGGAGAGGGGAAGGAAGAATGAGATTCCAAAAGGCACATCCATCTCTTTTGCACTGGAAGATCTGTTAGGCCGGGAAGCTCTGAGCATCTGCAGCTCTGAAGCACCCACTACCCTCTTCCCCTTCCTTTGTTTGGGAGTAGTGACGAGGGGCTGGCTGGAGATGCAAGTCCTTATCTGCTTTGTTTTCACTTGCTGGCTTTGGAAATAATCATTTCCCCAATAAACTCTGGGTCAGACAATCCGTATTCAGCGGAGAGAAAACAAAACAACAACAAACTTCGCGCTCCAGTTCGGAAATCACTCTCAGAAGCGCAGTAAATACAATGGTTAAGATGTGACTAGGGGTTGTGAATGCTTCAGTTTTGAAGGTTCCCATTCTCAGACACCTGAAAGGAGTTTTGTTTTCAGAGGAGTGGCGCTGGTCGCTACCGGAAAAATTAGACGCCTTTTTGCTATGCACTTTATCCTCGTTGACACTAAACTTTGTAAGAGTGTTTGGCCTTTGGTGGGGAATGCATTTCCAGGCTGCCCTCTAGAAGTCTATAACGTTGAATACAAAATTAAGCAATGCCAGCACAACCGTCCTCATGAAAAAAAAAAGTGCACTAAATATATGTTTAGTGAGGTCTGGGGGCCTACAGCCAGATAAATAAAGCAGCGATGTGTTAAACCTATTTAAAATACGACCAAAATTACAATTCGAATAGAAATAACATCAGATTATTTTATAGCATTGGGCCCCGATTCTGCTATCTTTAGTCAGGCAAAACTTTTCTTGAAATCAGCAGGCGCTTTTGCCTCAGTCAGGTCTTGATTCTGGTGCTCTGTACTGTCTACTGAATAAAATATATCCATCTACCCCTCCAACCCTGGACCAGATCTTGCACCGCCTACCCAACAAACGTCTCATGGAGTTAAATAGGGAGTTTTGCCTAAGTAAAGGCTACAGAATAGGACCCATCTATCCTGTGGTCCTTACTCCGGTAAAATATATAAAATCAATGGACTCGCCCCGACCTCAAAAGGATTGTTTTTTTCATAGAAGTGTAGGACTGGAAGGGACCTCAATAGGTCATTTTTGCCTGGGGAAGGACTGCAAAGCAGGCCCAACAAAGCGATATGATGTAATTAAATGAACATTTTAATAGGGAGGAGAGCACAGCACACCTGAATTCGATTTGTGCTGTTCTCTTTGGACAGCTAATGTTCTTGCTTCGGATTTGTTTCCCTCTGCAAACCTGACGGGCACACGCACTCACGTACCCAGAGGAATGAAATGACACAGGCAGCCATTATAAGTGAAGCTCTAGCTCGAGGGTATTCCCAGTTGTCTGCTGCTTGGCAGACGGAGTCTCAGCGTCTTTGCAGTGGGACCCTACAAATGGCTGCGAAAGCCTGTGTGCGAAGAGGCACCAGGGAGGAGGAAGAAGGCTGCGCTAGGGGCCCGAAAGCCCAGGGACTGAGCAAAGTGCGTGGCCCACCCCTGTAAGCAGCAGCAGCACCTGCCTTTCCCCATATGTTGCCTCCGTGCAGCCGGCCAGGTGAAGCCCCTCACAAAGCTGTATGAGTGCACAGGCATCTCACCCCATCGTCGGTACTCCGCTCCTAAAGCAGCACCTTTCGTCCTTCCTGATCGCCCCACGCGCAGGTGGTTACTTTCTTCTCTCTCTTACTGCAGTTTCTTTGGGGGAAGACCAGCTAACCAGAGGGTCATTTCTTCCACTCTCAAAGATCAAACCCCACCCGCCCTTGTCACTGCGAAACAAAAAAGGCACAGGGTGTTGCATGCGGGAATCAACCCGAGTCTATTAACCGTTTAATTGGTTTACTATCTGTGGCCTGTTTTGCTACCTCCTAGCACATAGCCCTTCCATGGATGATTTCTTAGTTAATCCTACAGGCACTAATCAACGGTAAATAAAATCCCAGACCTTTGAGACTGCGAGGAAGCATTAATTCCTCCTTGGAGGGTCCAGATGAAATGAAATAAAGTTTGTTTGTTTTTTTTGAAAAAAAAAATTGCTGCTCATTTCAGCTTGTCTGCGGATGCCATTACCAAAGATTTCTAAAAATTTATTAGCCCGGTAAACCAAATGCATTCATTTGAAACAAAGATTTAGTTAAAAGAAAAAGGAGAACTTGTGGCACCTTAGAGACTAAACTCATTTATTTGAGCATAAGCTTTCGTGGGCTAAAACGCACTTCATCAGATGCATTGGATGAAGTGAGCTGCAGCTCACAAAACCTTATGCTCAAATAAATGTGTTAGTCTCTAAGGTGCCACAAGTTCTCCTGTTCTTTTTGCGGACACAGACTAACACGGCTGCTACTCTGAAAGATGTAGTTAATATCCATGTTTATTCCCTAAAGAAATATTGCCTACATACGCATCACTGCTAGGGGAACGACAGAGAAATGCTGCCGGCGCTGCTTCACTACACAACAAAATATCAGCATTTTGCTTCTAACACACACAAGGCAATGTAATCCAGAC